GTGATTGGAATCGTTTTCTGCACGAATTCTGGTGAAGTTTGTGGAATAATCGTACGAAAAGCAAGTTCTTTGCATAATAAGTGAACTTTAACTTTTTTATGCAAACATATTGAAAAGTAAAATAAACTACAGTAACGTTCGTGAAATTGGATAACAGATTTCCATGGAAGTTCGTTCACATTTATTTTGAAGTTTTTAATTTTTCGCTGCATAGGAAACGCATCGCAATCGGCTATAGAAGCAACAACACTGCCAGCAAGTATCGCTGATCAGCCGACGGTGTGTGTACGTTTGTGCTGCCTGCTGCCATTTTTCGGTGCGTACTTTTGTTGTTGCTCTCCTTGTATTGCTCGTTATTTGCTAGCTCGACATTCCATAAAAATCAAGTTGGTAAAAATCTAATAAGAATATGTTTCTTGAATGCATTTCAACCGTGGAAACTGATTGACCACACCTAATCGAACATAAGAAAAAGTATTAAACAAAATTTGTGTGCTTGGGATTTCCTTACGCAGTATTTACTCGAAAGGCGTGTTTCGCCCGAATTTGAAATAGCGAAAATCGATTTCGTTTTTCGACTCGGGTGCTGTGAAAAGTTCGCCAGCGAATTGAGATAAAAACGATCTAGCAGGAGCCTCAAGACATCTGCGATATGGAGAAATTAAAAGTCAAAACTATAGGTGTGCTACGTGAGCGTGAAGGTGTTACAAATGGCAATGGAAATGGCGTTTGTCGTGTGGTGACACTTACCTCTGCGATTGCTGATAGTGGAGGCAATGTTGCTGTTGTTGCAGGTCGTGCTGAAGATGGGAAGAATGACGGTGGTGGAAGTGGTGGCAATTGTGTCCCAGCTAACCGCCCCACCACTGCAGCAGCGCTTGTGCGTCAGTTACCTAAAATGTCTGCCTCGGATTTGGCCGGAATATTGAATTGTAAACGTCGTTTGGAATGGACAAAAGAGTGGTTGAAAAAGAACCAAACAGAGTTTTTGAGCAAAGAAAATCTACGCAAAGAAATACAATTCCGTAGCAATGAGATATATCACTTTAATTGTTTTTTCGACATAACGGAGCGACAGTTCAGATACTTGGTGAATAACCTATCACCAGTTATAAGTTCCTATGAGCCGCATCGGAAGAAGAAATCATTCAGTGCAGAGGAGAGAATTGCTATAACGCTAAAGTATTTGGCCACGGGTATGTGCACATATTAAAATTTTTATTTTTATTAAGCCTACAAAACTATAAAACTTTATTTTTTAATACATATTAACGTATAGGTTATTAGATTTGCATGTGACCAGAAAAGAAATGCGCATGCTTATATGTACATATTAGTGTGCAGTTATCAAGGACCAAAAAATCGGAGGATTAATTTATTTGTACTTTGATATTTGATTTCTCAAGTCACTCATATACATATTTGTGTATTCCTGGGGTCTAGGTTCATGAAGAAATTTTTTTTCGTATATATTTTGATAACAACTTGTTTAATTTTTGATAGGCATGTCTTTAGTTACAGATACTCAAAACATCCGGAGCGTTACTACCAAAATGAACTGTTCCTTCAGGAATTTCCTGAAACTCAGAAATTGAGTTCTGCGCTTTTTAAGGGTTTTATAGATCATATCGCTACCTGAAATGCAAGAAGCCGTAACTAACACCGTCATTGAAATTCAAACAGTCGTAACTAATAAACTTGTTATGCGTAAAACGATGGGAGTGGGCAAATCAATGAATACAGCTAACTTGCAAAGGGTTACTATTCGCACCGCAATAAAACCCTCTTAAACAACTTCTTGAAGACACATGTAACGAACACAGGTAAACGCGCAGTTCAGCAGCACAGGAGCGACCGCTAACATAAGTCCATTGGGAAGCTAAACACTCTCTTGAAGAAAGCTTCTTCTTCTTATTTGGCGCTGTAACCGCCCATGACAAAACATATTAGGGATATTCTCCGAGTCTTGCAAAGCCCTTGCCGGTTTTTACTGTGCAATCCGTCCAGATCTGTGCACCGCGCAAGGGCTTTGCAAGACTCGGAGAATACCCCTAATGTTTTTAGTAACCGCCTAGCGATTTTGGCCGAGTACAGCAATTGCCAATTGTAAATTCAAGTGAAGCTAAGTCCTCTTCCTATTTGTAAATTGAAACACACCCTGCTTTTAATAGTTGAAATCTGATTAACAAGCGTTTTAAAAAGGGTTTCAAATAAACTTGCAATAAGTTTACTTCTACAAGCGTAATTTACATTACATTACATTACATTTTACCGTACAAGCGCTTTGCAAAACTTCGAGTAATACCCCTAATCAAGGTGGAATGAATAAGAAGTAACTGAGAATCAGTACGAGTCGAAGATCACCCTCTTCCCCCCATTCATTATCGAAGGAGAGGCAATAGTTTCGTTTTCGAATTTAATGTTTGGAATCCAAGAAAAATCACAAGAAATATTTTTTTATTACTTTGCTTTTGCTGTAAGTTTTCTTGAAGAAATAAATATATGTACAAGCATTTTTTCCTTGAGCGCTGCGAACCGATTTTAGAAATTCTGATAGAAGAAAATTTATTTTCCATTTCTTGTGCGTCATTTTATACATTTCTTGTTTTCGTGAAACAGCTGTTGGATGCTCAGCTGGCACGGCATTCAGGGTTGTGTTTTGTTTAGAACTAAAAAGTGCTGCCAATTCATAAAAGAACCACAGCTGCCAAACGCGAGAAAGAAAACTAAAATCAAAGAACGTAAATCTTTAATTAGGGACCATCAAAAAACATATATGGTTCGAGGCAAAAATCTGACGCGGACAGAGACAAAAGCGAGACGAACTGCTCATCTCAGCCTTTCAGATATGGCCTTAGCTGTCGCGGAACATTTTCAAGCCCACGAGTTGTCGCTTCCAAAGAACGTAAATGTACATTTACGGCACATTTTCAAAGTAACGAGTTGTCGCTTCTTATACATTTACGTTCTTTGCTTTGCATGTGCTTCACCCTGTTGATATCCAAGAATATTTTTTTGTTATGTGGCATCTCTCACCAAGCAACAGCATAAAGTGCGCGAGTTTGCGGAGGAAGTTTTTATTAGACGACAAGTCTCTTCAGTTTAACGTTTAACAAAGATATTGGAAAATTTCCGTGATTAGTTTATATGTTTGTCTGTATATATAAATATCGCGAAAACGTTCTATACAAAGATACAAATAATGAAAGTTCGAAATCTCACTTGAAACCTGAAGCCAGGAAGGCAAGGTCCAATATATCGGAAATACCATAGTCATATCCGGCAAACAATCGCCTATCGGAAGCGTTTTTCATGTATGTACATACATATCGTCGTCTCAGAAAACGGATGTCGAATGTTACAAAACACGGGTTTGGGAAAATTGACTTTGAAGTTTAAGGTCGAATTAATCCGAAACTGTACGGTAGATTTTTGTAATTTTTGAAGGAGACGTAGTTGGTGTTATTAGTTTTGATTTTATCCATATTTTTACATTTAATATCTCTTAACGTTAATGAGAAAATTGACTTTTCATTCCGTATACATTTGTCGTAAGTAGCGTTTACTCACCACTTTGTTTTGTCCATAGAACATACGACAATATTAAAGTATCTATTTCAATGACGATGGTATAATTTGATGAAAAAATCAGATATATTTATTAAATAATGATTACTTATTAGAAAAAGCATTACAAAAACATATTCATGTATTTAATTAAAAAAAATCTGTACATCTCTTATGCTGTAAATATGTTACGAACATACGTTTTCTTTATATAAAAACAAAAAACAATACTCATTCAGTCTTATGTACATTTTTATTTCTTTCATTTCATTGGAGACTCAGTGTAAGCTAAAATTTAAAAATTTAAAATTTTAAAATTAGTTACTTAGTTTAATTTCCAATTTTAATTGTGTCGTTATAGTAGAGGACCATCGAATTGTCGTAAGTTCAAAGTTTTGCGATACATACGACAAATGTTTTATGATTAAAAAAAGATTACATTTGTATGGGAATTTGTCGTATCCCACCATGCAAAACATGAAGAATAGGCAACTAAAATAGGCAAATAAAATTATTCCAAATATCGCCTGAAGCGATAAGAAAAGGACTCATTCAGGTAATAAGAAAACGACTCACCCAGGCGAGTTGCCTTCGGCGGACGTTTTAGAGCGACCGGTAATAGGAAATCGATTCGATGGCAATATTACCGGCAATAAATTTGTTTCCGAGGGCGACACGTTTTCTTATTGCCGGCAACACAAATTGTTTGGTGGGATATGACGCATTTTCAGCATATACAACAAAAGGCATACTCAATCATTAATATTATGTAACATACGACAAAGTGCGCACGAAATATCTCAAAAACTAAGGGAGATATAAAAAAATGGATTGCAGAAATCAAAAGAGCATGTCCAACTTAGTAAATCTGCATCAAAATCCCAAAATCATGATTTTGCACATTCGTCATCCGTTTTCTGAGGCGACGATATGTATTGGCATCAGAGCGTGGTGTTGTCTAGAAATTTTTATCGAGAAAGCTCAGTAAAAGCTTTCCAAACAACACCACACTGTAACGGTGCAAATGGACAAATGTGTAAAGATGTACATATCGGGTGAACCCTGCTCAACTCTGTGGAGTGTAAAACAATTTGATGCCAAGATACTGCTATGCCTGCATTCAAATAAGGTAATGCAAAATTTGTAAAAAGTTGAAGCTCACTAGTTGGAATCACTTTGTAATCGAGGTGGTTCGAATTTTCGAATCGTTCTATGTACATAGTTTCTGGTAATTTTGTTTAAAGCAGAAATAAAGGAGCTTAAGTGATGGTATTACAAATCGCTTAAAGATGAAGAACGTGTTTTGATAAACCACTTTTCACCACTCAATTTATTGTTTGCATTCTCAGTAGCAAGGGAATGTTTGAAGTTCTAATTTTAGAGCGTTCGATTCATCAAAATATTTAGTTAAAATAAATGGAAGATTCTAATTTCTGAGGGTTCTTATTTGAAAGCATCTACTGTAGTACCGTTTAAAACTTAAATATTTGAAATTAAATTTAAGTTATAATCTGTTGGTAGTTACATTGATTATTTATTACGAAGTTGTAAATATTAGATCTTCTCGTATATTGCATAGAGTTCGATTTTCATTGTCTTTGTTTATGTACATATATACATATGTATGTTTGAGTGCTTCTAATAACGGTAACCCCTCAGAGGGCACTGGCAAACCGCATAATAAGTCTGTTCCAGGTGCTTCACGACTTGCAGGTTTTTTACAGGAAGTCGTTCCCGGTCGCCACCTCCCATAAGGTTTATTAAAGGCGAAAACAGCTTTTCCTGTAAATCTTGCAAATCGTAAAGTACCTGGAACAGGACTAATGCAAATAAGATCGTAGTCACGACACTCGGGTCTACGTAAACGGAACGACCCAAACTCGTATCTGGTCAAGGACTGTCACTCCAGCATCATTCCCTAAAAACTCTTGGGGGAAGTTGGAAGTTGTTACGGATGGATGCTACGCTGCAGCAGAAAATGTCTGAAAGTCCAAAAATACATACCTAATTGCATTTCGACGGCAAAACCAAACAACAATCAGTTTATTTTTATATGATTAAGCTTTTATTTGGTTAATCGTAGGCATGTGTGTTGCATTACAAATACACATTTATGCTGTGTCCTCTCATGCACTGATAGGAAATGCATTTTGTTTTGTATTAATATTTACTTTGCAATAAGTTTTCGACTAATAATAAATGGTAATACATGCTTGCATTTTACTTTTGGTATGCTTGCTATTATTTCTTTTGATGGATGTATGTGCTTTATTACATAAATATTTTCAATATTGTACTTAAGTTAAGTTTAATGTAAATATTAAATATAAATTATTAAAATGCTTAGGCTTTATTTGCTCCTTTGGATTAAAAAATGAAAAAGACAAAGTCACTTTAAAAGCATGTTATATATTTTTTTTATTTTAAACATTTTTTTTATTTATTTAATATATTTTTTTTTGCATATTTGTTAAGGCATCATACACGTTTTCAAGCAAATATGTATGCATGTATCCCATTGAAGCTGCTTAAACTAAACTACTACATACGACTGACTAGTGTATTTAAATCATTTTTAAAAAATATTAAATTCTTTACAGCGACCGCTAAACTACTGCCTCGCAAAATTTCCACACTAACACAATAAATAATATCTTTAACCGCGTTTCACATTTGTTTTAATCAATGTATCAATGTAATGTAGAAAATTGTTGATAGTTCTTAAAAAAGTACAGTACACACAATTAACTTAACGACATACATATTTAGTGCATAGGTTTTCTAAGAAGTTCGGATACATTTGAAAGGTTAAAGCCAATTAACGAAAGTCATTACATTTTATAGATAATAGACACTTAAAGGGTCACATTTACTTTTAAGCCAAAATATACAGGATAATTTGTTATCTACCCAAAACAAATTTTATTTAACAATAACTAGTTCGCATGGCAAACGCGTTGGTATTTGTGTGGATTCATATTTTTGATAATGCTTATCATTTTTTTTTTTTTGGTTTTACTAAAAAAACGTGTTTTAAGTGAAGACTGGAATTACATAGTTCATAGTTCACCGTGTATTTCATAAATTTCGATGCGTCGATAATTTTTAAAATGCAATGTATCAGTTTACTAAGTATAGGGAATGTATTTGAAGTATGCAGTATGTAAATATGTATGTATATTTTTGTTAATCGAAATCTCCCAGCCTTTGGCGATGTTGGTTCACCATTAACGAAGCATGAATTTTCATTTATTTATTTAAATCTGTAAAAGAAAAAAAAAGATGGTTTCGTTTTATTTAAAACAAAAAATTCAGTTGAATTGTTAATGGATGTATTTTATAAATTGATCGTTTTTATCGTTCAATTACTAAAAAACTGTCATAATTAAAAAAAAAAAATAAAAAATATCAAATGATACGGGATTACTCGGTATATTATGCTTCAGAAGACAATACGCTTTTTTTCTACATTTTGGGAGTAAATTGAAAACTTTAAACGCGTCTCCTGGAACATTTGTTTTTTTTTAGTAATGATAGTTTTTTAGTAAATAAGCTATATATGTATGTGTATGTTCTGAATCAAAGTTTTTAAAATTATTTGCTTATTTAAGAAATTTAATTTTTTTCAAAATTACATGTACACTGCCGGAGCAAAGTATTGGCACAGCAAATTTTTCACAATATATGCAACTAATTTCGTATAAAAATATAGTTCGTTCTACAACAAAAAACATAAAAATATAATTCCTAAACTTTGTGCAAAACTCGCGAAAATTCAGCAAATTTTCAATTTTTTAATCAGATTTTTTAGAATTTTTTTTAGTATGCAGGTTTCAGCCCAATCAATTTTATTATAGTAAAGTGCAAGTTTTAAGTGGCTAGGAATTACCGTTGATTTTTGGCAATTTTTTTCATGCAGTCTCTTCCATACAAAAAATTTTTCTAAAATACTTTATATGGAAAAAATGCAAAACACCTTCAACAAAACAAAAAAAAATCAAAAATCAACGCGATTTTTGACTAACTCCGAAATTGTTTTTTTTTACTAGAATTTAATGGGCTCCAAAACTGCATACTCAAAAAAAAAATCTGATTAAAAAGTTGAAAATTTGCGAATTTTGCACAAAGTTTTGGAATTTATTTTTATGCTTTTTGTTGTTGAATGAACCATATTTTTATACAAAATTGGCGGAAAAATATTAGACTAAAAATTGTTGCATATATTGTGAAAAATTTGCTGTGCTAATACTTTGTTCCGGCAGTGTATGTATATACTAGGTGTTCTAAACCACCCGTCCAGCCCTTCTAAAATTGTGAGAAATATTTTTTATTCAAAACCTCAAAAATTTTACCTACTAAATCGTGAATGCTCTATCTTTTGGTGGTATTAGCGACTTCCGGTTTCGACCGGAAATGAGTTAAACTGACCGGAAGTCCATTTTTTCAAATTAGATATACATGTTTTTACTATATATTCGGATTCTAAAGAAAGATGCAAATATTTTTATTGGACAACGAAAAAATATCAATTACCAAGTCGGGGATGCTCTATCTTCCGGTTTCGATCGAAAGTGGGTTAAACTGACCGGAAGTCCATTTAGTTAAATGCGATATACATATTTTTATCACAGATTCGAATTCTACCCACATATGTAAGTTCAAACCGTTTGTCGGAAAGTTTTTTCCGGTTTGGACCGGAAGTGGATTAAACTGACCGGAAGTCCTTTTTTTATTACGCGTGTATGTTTTTACTACAGATTCTAATTCTAAGGATAAAAATACGTATTTTTTTTATTACACTTTTTTCTCGGAAGTGCCTTTCTAAACTTCTAAATGACGTTCGAACCTTAACTCGTCCTGGTCTCTCGCTGAAAAGTGTTGAAAAAGGCACTTCTGAGAAAAATGATTCAAACAAAACTTGGGTATTTTTGGTCCATAGAATCCAAATCTGTAGTAAAACATGTATATCTTATTTGAAAAAATGGATTTCCGGTTAGTTTGATCCACTTCCGGTCGAAACCAAAAAAAAAGTTTCCGACTAAAGATATGAACTTTTATGGGCAGAATTCGAATCTGTGGTAAAAATATGTATATCCCATTTAAACAAATGGACTTCTGGTCAGTTTAACCCACTTCCGGTCGAAACCAGAAGTCGGTAATACGACCAAAGGATACAGCATCCTCGACTTGGTAATTAATTTTTTTCGCTCATTGAAGAAGTCCAGAACGAGTTAAAGTTCGAAGGTCATTTAGAGGTTGAAAAAGGCACTTCCGAAAAAAAAACGTCAAGCAAAAGTTACGCATTTTTATACTCAGAATCTGAATCTGTAATAAAAACGTGCATGTATATATGTATATATGTCTAATTAAAAAAATGTTTGCGTTATTATATCAAAAAAATTTACCTCTATTTTAGAGGGGGTGGACGGATGGTCTAGGACACCCTGTATACTTCAAGAATACGCTTTGGTTTAACCCCTTAAAGTGAAAATAGGCTTTAATTATATACACCCGCGTCATAATTATGGTCGCAAAACATATCGACAAGTTTTAACAGTTTGTATTTTTTTTTGTTATTTTATTTTAGTAGTTATTTTAATATAGTTTATTCTTTAACAAAAAACCGTATAAATCCAAGTTACAAAAATTGTACAGTATTAAAAAAAAATATGTGGTGCGCTTATAATTTTGACGTGGGGTGTATTATAATTTTAGCTCCTATCAATTCGTTTATCTTTAGCAGATTTTTATCTTTTCCGTTATTCGTTTGATTAAATAATCTTCGAAAAAAGTGAAAGCTAGACGAAATGAAATAGGGCAGATAATTGTTTAGACCAAGTATTTAAAACTATATCGCGATCAAATTATGTATACCGACACCACGAAAACTTTTCCACAAAACCAAATGTAGTCTAGGCCAAAAGGACTGAAAAAATAGGACAAGCAAAGAAGGATTCTTGGCAGCAGATCTGTGCAGCTTTTGAGACCACAAATGCGGTGTCCGTGGCTCCAAAAGATACTAGCTTGGTCCAATGTGACTCTAGATCTAGACGTATCTTGGAAGGTCTGAGGCGTCAAGGTTAAGAAGTATACTAACCAGGTTCGATGTCTGACCAGTATTTAGAGAGCAGACGGATCTTGAATGGACTCTAGCCGGGATGTGCCGAGCTTAGCTGACTCAGACGTCGCGGATATGGTGAAGGTAGCTTAAGCCATCAATGCTTTGTATCCCTTCAAAACAGGGATGGGATGAACTGCCTTCTTGCTACACTCATGTGGCAGATTGCAACCTCATTTAACTTTTTTTTTTATCAAGGTGCTTAATTTGGAGGGAGGTGGGGGTATTCATGAGGGACTTTAAGCTAATAAATCCTGCATAATAATAATAATAATAATAAATTGGCGCTTACACATACGTTAGTGTTTGGCCGAGCTTCTCCTCCGATTTGTAGCGTGCGCCTTGATGTTGGCACACAAAGTGGAGGGACCTACAGTTTTACGCCGACTCCGAACGGCGATTGTATTTTTATGAGGAGCTGTTTTCCATGTCAGAGGGGCGACCGTTCTTAAGATAAAACCTTTTGACCAGGGCTTGAACCGTTCCTGCTTATATTATTCAAAAGACGTTGAAACGCCTATATGACCTACCAGTGGGCAAGGGAATGTACTGTCATCCACACGAAAAGCGCAACAAGCATACCCTAGGGTAGATCTGTGGAAAGCGCACTGCACGAGGTTTTTAATACCAGCATTGCCAAGTTTTGAATTTAAAAAAGCACTAAAACCCAAGAAAACATCGCGTTTTTCTCGAAAAAAGCACCAAACTTTTATTGGAGTGTTTAATGGACTTTGTATGCACGAACAATTGTATCGTAGGGATGCCGATTCGAATTAATAAAAATCAATGTTATTTGCTCGACGGTCGAATTTACTCTGTTTTCTATAAATTTAAATATTTTCGTACAGGCGACGTTAAGATTCTTGTTCTTATTTTCTAATTAGCCACTGTGTCCAGCATTGCCGTTTCGCAAAATTTATTAACTTTTCCTAACTGTTTAAATGTTGAAATTTTCTTCGCTTTGCTTAATTTTTCTACAATTCTTATCAAACGAAAGCAAAAACCAGATATGAAGTTTCATGAACTATGTAGTAGTTTAAATCTACACTGCAATCTCTTATGATCTTGTGAACTAAAGGAACATAAAGAACTTTTCTTTCCGACCGCCTAACACCTGAAACATAACGAAATTTGATTTTCCTTTTTACNATCTCTTATGATCTTGTGAACTAAAGGAACATAAAGAACTTTTCTTTCCGGCCGCCTAACACCTGAAACATAACGAAATTTGATTTTCCTTTTTATTGTGTCTTATTTGAGCATTTAGGAAACTAAGGGAACGGAACAAGAGCTCGTTCATGGTGGCATCACAATGGGTCAAAATGGCTTAAGTGTGTCTCTCTTTGCCGTTCCGTGCGGAGTGACAACCACCGTAACCTAACCTAACCTAACCTATTTGAGCGTATTATCCACTGGCGCATAGTGGGTTTTTTACAAAAGGTTCGGAGGGCTAAAGGGCGATTCCTGGTCCCAGCAATGAGGAATTACCGAATGTAATTTTGGAATGATTGAAAGTGCTGCCACATATATTGTTGGTAAACATATGCTCTCTCGCTTATGATTGTCATTGTGACATGATTTTATTTCGATTTTTGTAAAGTTTCTTACAAAACTTACGATTGCTATAAATTTTGCCCCCTTTTTTGTTAATATTTACTGATTTGGTGTCTTCAAACTAAAAAAAAGCACCAAAAATAAAGAAAAGCACAACAATTTTTAATACTATCCATGACTCATTAGAATTCAAGGAACAGACCTGGATTGGCTTCCTAGACAATGAAGGAACCTTCAATAATGTGCGGATTGACTTCATGCTTCAGAGCAGAGTTATCAGCTCAACTGATTATAATCACAGGACCTGTGAGGAAAATAATTACCAAAGACGATTCCCAGGGAGTCATACTCTCCTCTGGCTCTTTTTGGTCTATAAGATTCTTAAATGAAATGCTTAAAGTAATCAAAACAAAGATTGTTGGCCCGCCAACCGACTGCAGCGTCTTCTAAACAGAGATGTATGTACTACATACATATGCTATAGAGAAAGCAGCTAGTCCACTACAAAATAGAACATTTACAGCCGTTAAAGTCACTGCTTTCATCGATAGCCAAGTGGCTTTCATAGAAAAAGTATCCAAAAAGGAAATGTTCGGTAATGCGTAGGCCATCTAAATACATGTCTCTTCTTCCGATTTAATATGTTATTTCGAACTGCCTCAAGGACCATGAAGTTTTCCATGTATTTTATATGGGGAAAACACTTTTTCGTAGAAATGCTATTCTTTTTTCCATTTAGAAAAATCCTAGGTGGTCAGAGCTTAACATTTCAAACTTCCACCTCGGCATTAATTTTTGAACGACCTTAATGTACATACATACATCTCCCTTATATAGTTAAACCTGATCAAACCAAAAAAGGCCCCTTTGTTATTTATTTACAGTTTTTACGCGTAGTTGAGCTCTACTGCATATTTTTTATTTTTTCTTCTTTTTTTTTTTAATTAAGAAAACAACGAATTGTATTAAAAATTCATAACGATGAAAACTTGCAAGAGAAACTCAAACCTGCCTCTTTTTTGCAATCGCTTTTTCGTAACTATTTAGATAATTATGCAGTAAAGATACGCAATGAAACAATGAAGTTTTTGGTGCTTACCTAACCACTGATGTATGTATAAAAAGCTTGTAATCCCTTAAGAATGTATTTTATTTATGCGTGAAGTTTAATGCTAGTTTTTTCTCTTCTATCTCACTTTCTCTCTCTCTCTCACATCTCTGTCGAGCATCGTTTAATGTTGATCATCGTAATCTGATCTTTGCTGTACTTGTCGACGTTTCAGCGCTTCAGCATCTTCGAGCAGCACTTCTTCTAAGACATTCTTATCTTCCACAACCGTTGATTCTTCATGAGACCAAAAGCTACTAGATGTCAAGCTGGAGTGCGCTCCAGGATAGGAGTCCTCCATGAGTGTACTCGATGCACAACTTGTTACGCTGCCAGACATTTGTGAATTGCCGGCGCTGGTCTGATAGGTGGCAGTTGTGCCCGCCGAACTGGTATTGGTTTGTTCAATGCAAAGTGAGTCGGTCGATACATCCTTGGGTAGTTGCTCGCTGGGGAATTCTAGCGTTATATTGCCACTGGTGCTTGTTGTTGTGGTTACGGTCTGCGTAACGATATGCTCATGACCCTCTGCATCTGTGGTAGTCGTAGTGGTTGTTGTAGTTGTTGTCAGACCTTCGCCTAGTGTAGTTTCTCCAGCTATTGGAAATCTTGCCAATAAATCAAACTGCTCATTTTCCATGGAATCGATGCTTTCTTCGCGTGTTGGTTGTTTACGATCAGTTTCCAGTGAGTCTATATCCGAACGTGTGGTGGCGTCTTTTGAAATTTCAAAACTACCAATACTGCTCGAGCGCATATCGAGACTTTTGTTAATCTCCAAACTGTCTACGCTTCCCTTTTCCGAATCCTGCTTATCGAGCTTTATTTTCGCCTCCAACGGTTCAGTTGACACCTCCGCAATTTTAACCAGTGAATCTCTGCCTTCACATTCTTCGAGCTTTTGCTTGAGCAGCGCTTCAATGTTTTGCTGCTGTGCCGGCAGCATTTCAGTGCGTGTTACAGTGCGTGTCACTTTGCTTACAACAACAGCGCTTGCACCATTTTCCCGATCGCTGTCATTCGATTTGTTCGAGTCATCGGAGCGCGAGAGTAGTGCGGCTTCTTCTTTTGCCTTGATTTCAATCAAATGCGCTTCTATGCAGGCATTCTCCAAGCCTTCGAATTCTTTGAGACTTGAGATGGATATATCATCGCCTTGTGCTGTGCCACTGCCACTGTGGCGCACCATATAGCGCCGCGTGAAACTACCATTGCTGGAGTCCGTTGAACCCTGATGCGTTTTGTTGCGGTTCTCCAATGAAATAGCCTGCTCGAGCGACTCGAATTCTTGCAAACTACTCATCGAAACATCATCGTGTTCACCGCGTGCATAGTATCGCCTTGCAGCCATGACGTCGTACTCCGGTGTGCTGGAAAAGGAGTCTTTGAAACTGCTAATGCGGCTACTACCCACTTCGAATTCGCCATCCTCTTCTTTGATGTCTTCCAACACGCCACCAGTGATATCGTAGGGATAGCGCAATTGCGTGTCTGTGAGTTGCATTTCTACCCAGCGTTTATTTGAAGTAGCCATGTCGCCGGAGTCACTCTCCTCCTGTGGATCGCTGCTACTACCCGCAGTCGGCGGACTTTCCTCGAACTCGAAATTAAGATCATCACGGAATATTTGTGAGCCTAATTTGGGATCGGCTGGTGCTGATTTTATGATAATTTTCTCAACGTCCTCATCATGCTTGGATTCGTATTTTGTGGGCTGAATTTGAATGCTTTTCGCACCTAAATCCACTTCGTTGGCTTCTTTAGCTACCTCTTCGATAATCACAAAATCATCGGAAATATCAGGTTGGTCAACCATTTCAAATGAATCTGGCGAGTCTGGTGCCTTATCATCATCATAATCACTATCGCCAACTTGTGGACGCTGCAAATCCGCCAACTTCTGCTTATATTGCTCCTGTACTAGTTTTTGAAATGTTTCCTCACTTTTTTCCGCACGTTTCTGCTCATGCAGCGGTACATCAGCGGCCTTGTGTAGCTCTTCTTGAGTTTTTACTTTATATAAGGACTTCTCTTCGAAACCTTCAGCGGTTTCCTCGAGGCTTGGCGATTTTTGAAAGTCTTCAGTTACTGTTATGTCTGGTATTACTGAATAGTCTTGCATATTTTGCGATGGTCGGCGTTCTTCCTCAATGGCTTCGGCTTCCATCTCCTCAGTGGCGCTGTCCTCTACTATCACTTCGGCGACAAGTTGTGACGGTGTGAAAGGACGCTTTTCGAGCTCGAAGCTATGATCCATTTCGGCAGCTGCCTGTTTCTTCTTTTTGTTGTTTTTGCGTTCGCTTGGCGACCGAAACTGTCTGGTATATTCGGATTCGTATGGATCTGTGTCGGACTCACTTTCGGATTCCTTATTTTCGCCCAAAACTGGCAGCTCTTTATCAGTTATAGACTTTAAAACATCTCCAGTGATTGCGGTGCTTTCACTACGCCTGTGCCCACGCTTGCGTGCCTCGCCGGGTGGTGTTGTGGCTGCTGAATCTGGTGGGGAATGTTCCTTGCTTTCCATTTCCATACTAAATGTTTCCTCATGCTCGTAAAAGGAGGATGGCTGTTCATCGTGTGGGAAGCCGAAAGCCTCAATGCCAGTGAGGGAAGAAGAACCGGCCGAGCCAATCATATCCTCGAAGTTCTCTACCACAGTCTCTATATTCGATGTACTCGACATGCTGACCGAAAGTATGCTACCTTCATCTAAACTTGATGCTAGCTTGGAATCGTCAATGGAACGTCTTATATCGCCATGATAAAGTAAAATATCTTCGGGCCGTTCGGGCTCTCTTACATCGTCTAGTTTTCCTTCATCTACGGGATAAGCCAAACCCCATGTTCTCTCAACTTCCTTAGGTTTAGGAAACTCTTCGACAGTAACTGTTTCGAATTGCTGCTCCTCGGTTTTACTCTCCTCTGGCTTTGGTTTAAATATCATTTCTTGTGAACGTTTCATCAATGACCTTTGCATTTGCTGTTCGCTTTTGGCGTAGTCTTGTATTTCTAGGCTGTCATCGCTGTCCTCATCATCAGCGCGCAAATCGCGTATACGTGCCAATTCCTCAGCTTCTAAGGCATCTGGTTCTGTGGAGGATGCCACCAAAGTTTCCGATAATTCCGATACATCAATACTACCCAAATTCGCGGATGTCTCCGATTGCGAATCTAAACTTTTCATGCTTTCGTGTGAGCTTATGGTCTTGCCACTGCTGCTTTGGAGTGTGCTAACGGCGCTAACATATTCAGTAGTTTCGCGCGTTACTGAAGACATGTCCAATGCAGTTTGATATTCCGAGGAATTCCCCTGCGTCAATAAGTTGTCTACATCTGACGACAGTGGACGGCTGTCGTTCTTATCCAAACTCTTATAATAGCTTTCACTTGAACTGGACTGATCAATTTCCGGTACGGACCATCTGTTTGTGGAATCAGTTGAGCTGCTTTCTGACTTAATGCGATGTGTTACCTGCTCGAATGGTTTCATTGTTTGTTCGGAACTTATTTCCGAAAAAACCGTTGCGCTGCCGACAGTTGTATCTTCAATTGGTGATTTTCTCACTGGTCCTCCCTCTACAGTTACTACGCTAGCCTTGGCCATTTTTTCCTGAAAGTAGTCCTCCATTGAACTGAAGTCTTCAACAGTTTCTGTTGATACAAAACCAAGGGAGGCATGTTCTTCCTTGGCTGCATACTCTTCCATCGAACTGTAATCGTCTGCAGTGCCGGTTGATATGAAGCCCAACGAGCCGTGCTCATCTTTACCCTCTTGCTTGACCTCTTCGAAAATCTCACGCGCATAGTGTGCCATAACAGCTTCCTTATTCAAAGTTTCCTTTGTTGTTCCGTCAAAGAGTAACTCAGTTGTTTCTTTTGCTGACTCGAATGCAGAGAGTGCAGTTGTATCTTTCAAAGTATCTGGTATACCTATAAACGAAGAAATATCTGCCATTTCCGCGAATTCACGCTCCTGCGGTTGAGCCGCATTTGGCGTGGGATCTGCTTCTGGCATAGATTTTTCCTTTTTCTCCGCGCTGCTGAATGCCTGAGATATTGAACGAAACTCGAATTCTGATGGCGATTCTTTAATTGATTTTCCATCCTTAACTATGAATTTCAGTTCGTTCTTTGCAGCGTTCAACGACTCCTGTGCTTCTTCCAATGTTCTGGCAACCATTTCTTCATCAATCAAAGCTTTTGGCAACTCACTCAGCTGTTGTGGTGAGTGCACCACCTTAGGTTTACCATCCACTGGAATTTCTTTCTCCGCTGTCTCCCATTCGCTCTTTTCTAGTTGCAAATCGAATTTCTCTGATTTCGGGGTTAATGAATCATCAACAAATGCCTCTGGTTTCTTTAAAATGTTTTCAAATTCTTCCGCGAAAGGCTGTGAAATTTCTGCAGTTACCATAAAAGTAGTAGACACTTTGTCTTCATCAGTTGGCTTTTCCTTAAGCGGTTCTTGTTCCAAGAGATCGTTTCTGGTTTCGGAACCTTGTCGCACTATTTTGCTTTCAGCTTCGCCTGTTTCGCGCTTCATTGTCACATATTCCTTAAATATATCGTTACTTTCATCCGAATCGACGGAAACCTCCTTCATTAACGCTATATCCTTGGCCTCGATAGTAGCCTCAGCGACATTTTCTGCAGCTGCTGTTGTGTCCTCAGACGCATCTAAATCACCATCTGGTTTTGTAGGCGTGGTTTTGACAATAATATTTCGGCTCGATTCGCCAATATAGAAACTAGTTTTCCCACGACCATCGACAAGTTCGGACTTTTCTGTGTCGGCATCGTCTACTGAAATCTCACTTGTGGGTTCTAGTGACTCGGTGTGATCTTCAGAAGCTGTTGTAGTCGTTGTGATAGTTGTAGTCGTAGGATAATCGCGTGCATGTGATGACTTGATAGAAATTTCCGTAGACGGTTCATCGGTTTTAGATAGATCTTCTGTCATATCCAAACTACGTAAACTGATGCTATCCGAATGTTCGCTCGCCAAAGCAGCTAAGTTTTTAAAAGAGTCCGTTGGCTTCATTTGCAAGCGTGGCTTTGGTACCGGTGCAGTTGATGATAAATCTGACAAGATTTCAGCGGAGTCTGTCTGAAGGCTGGTTGCATCATCACTCTTGAGGCACTGTGCGATATCGCCGGCAACAATATCTCTAACTGGTGAAGCTGGTTTAGCGCCAGCGCCACGAGGTCTGGGTGTTGGGGCATCTGCATCGGAACTAGTTGGGGCAGTTGTTGTTGTAGCGCCAGTGGGTACTGGGGTGGTTTCAGATGATTTAGCGAACTCAAAGCCTGTCTCTACAAAAATTAAAACAAGTGTAAAAGTAAAGACATTTTTTAAAGTATCAAAGAAGAATAAACTAAATTTTAACTGAAAAAATAAGAGGATAGAAACTAAAGAGATAGACGAGTGGTTATTTTGTAGGTATATATGTCAGCTAAAGAATATAGGCATAAAATATTGTTTTTGTAAATTAGTTTGCTACTTTCTTTGCAAATAAAATACTAAAATGAAGTAAGTATATTCGGCATGCAAATTTGAGCCATTATCATTGAAATTAAAATTGAAAAAAGCATTTCTATGAAAAGAAAACGCAATTGTTAACCATTATGCAATTAGAGCTCAACTTTAACAAAACCTATGTATGTACAAATATGTTGCTGAATATACATATTTTGGAAATATGTATGTATGTATCTTTCAAAATATATATATATATATATAAGTATATCAATTGTCAAAAGCATACTTTAAGACATACAAATTTCGGTGGTATGCTTGCAACTCCATAATGCCCTTGCATTGCAAAAATCTTGCATTTGACTTGCAAACTAAGCCTTTTTGAATATATGTATATATGTTAATTTTTGTTCATACATTTCATAATTATTTTTTGTAAATAAGTTTATTTATTAATACCTGTTGCAATATCTTGTATATCATTATCGGGTGTATTTTGACCGATATCGCCCAAAGTGTTTGTTGTCGGCGACACACTATCATCCCAACTCATTTTCGAAAATTCACTTTGTAAATTACTTAACTCATCATCGTGCACCATTGCGTCAAAATTAGCATCGAATGCTGACGCTTGTTCGTCAATGTCGCCAATATGCGTTGTGAGCTTTTCGAATTTGTGATCAATTCGCCGCGATTTTGTAACAGTGGGATCCTCTGTAATATTTTTAGAATCACTAGTACCTATGTACATACATGCATATGCAAATGTAAGCACAAGTTTTTTTTGTCGGACAGGTTATACTATAACTTCCAAATATTTAGTAGGTACTGGGGTTATAAGTTAGTTTTTACGGCTTGGTCGATGATCGAAGCGGAAAATTTGTAACTGCTTCTTGTGTGTACAAATGAAAATTTCTGGGCTATTTCGGGGCTATTTCAGGTCCATTTCGGGACTAGCTCGCGAATAGTTCAGTGCCATTTTTTACCTATTCAGGACTATTTCAAGATCTTTTCGGGACTTTTTCGGGTATGTTTATTTATTTTGGTGCTAGTTCAGGACCATTTCCAGGCTAGCTCAGGGACCATTTTGGCACTAGTACGGGATCATTTTGGCAATAATAATAATCCCTTATTCTGAACCGTTGCAAGACTTGTTCGAGATCATTTTAGAACAAGTTCATGACTTTTTAGACCGTTTTGGGGCCTGTGCAGAACTATTTCAGAATAACTTCGGAATTAGTTAGGGACCGTTTCGGGACCTGTTAAGGACTATTTTAGAACCATTTCGAGGCTATTGTAGAACTACTTCGGGACTGGTTGTGGACAATTTAAGACTAATTCGGGACTATTTCGGACTCCAACTACAGGTATAAAAGTCCCATACTGATAGAAGTATGGGCTCAAATTGTTCTACTTAAAAATGGGTCGTTAATTTTTGTATGAATCGCTTAAGACAATAGTTATGCTTGAAGCCAAGATGATTAATTTAGGGCTAAAATGTAAAAAAATGTACTGAGTTGGGACTTGACTACTACGCATAAATACACGGCCCTAAACACGCTTTAAAAGTATTCCATAGTGTATTTTACTTGAAATTTCACGTTAAATTGATTTGATTGATTTTAAATAGAAGGAGTAGCATAGAGCCGAAGGCGTCCGGAGCACGTCTTATTCACGAAGTGGTCGAAGAAAACTAAGATATATAGAGTTAGGTCGATGATAAACTATTTCCATGGACTTTTTCCATATTTCGAATGGTTAAAATACCATTACACTTAAGTAGCCAAAGCATAGGATACGCAATTCAAATGTACGACAGTGCCACGTGAAAAACCCAGTCAGAGTTCGAAGGTTTTATCTCCCCAAAATAATAAATGTGGTTTGAGCCGAGGCCAAGTAGCTGTGCTAATTGTCGCGTTGTTCCACCCGTTCTTCATCCTGGGTATGGGTGCATACAGGTGTTCGCTTGATTCCTGCATTGTGAATATAATTCCACCTATAAGAAAAATGTTCCCCGATGCCTCTTTTAACCCTTCCAGGACCAATGGAAGCAGCTTCCCAAAGAGCTTATTCACTCATAAGAAAACTGTGAAAATAATTTTAATGTTTCCTGTTTTTTCATCATAAATTTTAGGAGGAAATATATGTATATAAAAAATAATTTTTGATAAAAATATTTTTTTTATTTTTTTTTTAAATAGGAAAAGGAAATAACCTCATCTATAGAAAAAAATATTTTTAGGGAAAAATTAATTTTTCACAAAGAAAAACTTTAACCAAAAGCAAAAAAAATTATCCATCCAAAACAGGTACCGAGAAAACGTTTCGGTTTTAGTTTAGTGCTGCACGAGAACGAAATTTAATGTCAAGAACGTTCCCACAAAAGAACCAAACGGGAATAGAACTATTAAGGGGAACAGGAACAAAATGGGAGCAAAAGGTTCGACAACATTTCCTTAAAGAGCGTAAGGGCGTTTTTAGAAGGATAAAATATGAACAAAATTCTGGGGAACGTTTTGCTGGAGAACAAAATCAAAACAAAAGGTTTGAGAATTTAACGTTAAGAATTATAGGGGTATCTGCGTGTTAATATGAAAAATCATTTCAGTGGGAACCACGATTTTGAATTCTAAGCCAAAGGAAAGTTGGATTATTTCAACTTCCACATCGTTTATCACTAGGGTGAACTGTGAATTTCATTTTCTGTGCAAGAAAAGTTCGTGTCTTAAGTCTTTCGTTAACTTAATTTGCAGAATTCTCTTTCAGTTCTTTTTTGATTAATTTTAATATTCAAACATTTCAAACTAGATGTAGCGCTATGAGCAAAATTTTGTTAGTGCCTCCACTCTTCGCGAATGGTTCAGAGATAACTTTTTCTTGTTTCGTTCTGTGTCAGAACGTTTCTGAGACTTTAGTTCCCATATTGTTCTTCGAGAGAAAGTTCCTTAAACTTTTCGTTCCACTTTGTCTTTTTCCAGAATGTTTGTTTTCTTAAAAATATTTCCGAAAGTATTGTTCGCATTTTATTCGCTTTGGGAACGTTCTCCAAAGTTTTGTTCTTATATAATTCCCGTTAAGAACGTTGTTTCGTTCTTGTGCAAACACTCTCGAAGGTTTTGTCCTCATTCCGGTTTGGATTTTTAAGCGTTCTTTTTTTGTTCTCCATTCCTGATACAAACATAAATAAATCGTTTATGTTTTTGTTATTTTATGGCCTTATAACAATTATATTCAACAATTTTTGTTGAGCTCAAACTCGTTTTTAATGAAAAACTATTGTGGAAAAGCAACCACAAGCATTAAAAACCGCCTCAACCTCAATCAAAATTGTTGAATAAATCTTTTATAGTAAAAATTTTGAGGAAATTGATTTGTAAAAAATAATTTCATTACTGGCTTCAAAAATGGTTATCATTTCGTCGTGTATATTTTTAATTTTAGACTTACGGTGTTGAAAGCATTAATATTAAGGTAGACCAATGAACCCGTGAGTATTTCGGAGGTTGAAATAACCGTCTAGCTGATTTGATATTATTTGCGGAGTGTCTAAAACACAACACCATCGGTAGTTGTCATAGTTCTGTTTGATTTATAAAACTCTTGTATTCTATTCAATCAGAAGTGTTTGCTTGTAAAATTTCTGCCCTACTTACTTCCACCTTAGAAATATACTCACAGCAACTTTTGCTGGAATAATGAACTTGTTCGACACATTCTAGACGTAAATGCATACTCTAGATCAATCAGAAATCATGCAAGATGAGTACTTGCCCCTAGGGTCGAGAGGTCTATCGGAAGAAATTGTGTAAGATTCGCATAAAATTAATGAGTATTTTCATCAGATACTGTCTTTTTCGAAGACAAGGCCTGAAGTTTTCATTTATGTAAAATAAATATACTAGCTTTTTACACCTACTAACCAGATAGATGAAGATTTCTCTGAGTCGCTGAAGACAAAATGCGCGTAGACTAGGCAAAACATTTAATATGCAGGTCGAGTTACCACAAGTGAATCATCGCTGATGTAACAATACTAAATAGATAGCCATATCTGAAACGAAATAATAAATGAAAAGAGGACTACTTATGTCATCCACCAGAAAAAAACTGATCAAAGCCCGGAGAAGTTTCACAAGTGGTGACAAAGCAGTCAAGAAAAGTGCTGCTGCTGAAGTTTAGTGGGAGCTTCACGAAAGCATTGATTCGTCTCTCTACTATCCATAACAAATGCGATTGACCCAGATTACAAACTTACAGAATTAAGAAACCGGAATGATGGGTATTCCATCACGGCACAACTAGAAGAATTGAGAGTGCTTGGTTAAGAAATTTCGATAAATACCTTCTTGCCCAGCCATTCGAAAGAAGTGCACATAATCTTTGTCCACTTCTTACAATTCAATAGTTAACGCATACTATTTTTATATCCATGATGGCAATTTAAAATTTCCTGTCCTAAAAGCTTCCAGAAATTTTTGTTGAATTTTGGAATAACCAAAATGTATGGACGGCTTTTGAATTACCGAATATGTATGTCCAATCTTTTAATGGCCAGCAAATTAATCCCAGTTTATAAATGGCAAAGTTTTTTTTTTTAAGTTTTTAATAGACCAGAAGTTCATGCCGAGCTATAAAATAACTAAACAATATGCCCAATCATTAAATAACCAAAAATATGTCCCGTTACGAAATGACCAAAAAAGTATTCTCTTTTTTAAAGCGATTATGAATTTTTATGGCCAGGTTTTAAATGACCAAAAATGTATGCCGAATTTATTTATACATTACCATTCTATTTTTAAATTACCTAAAACTTATGTGCAGTTTCTTAATGACAAAACACTTGTTCTCATTTTGTTAGTTAACAAAAATTTATGTCTAAATTTATTTATGCTCGATTTCTAATTTACCAAAAAATTATTTTTGGTTTTTAAATTACCAAAAACTTATGTCCAGTTTCTAAATGAAAAACTTATTCTCATTTTTAATGATCAAAAATTTTTGTCTAAATTTAAATTGACCATGAGTTTATACCAAAAAATTGTGTTCGGTTTTTGTATTACCATAAACTTAAGTCCAGTTTCTAGAAGAGAAGAAACTTACTCTCATTTTAAATGATAACAAATTTATGCCTAAGTATAAATTGGCCAAAAGTTGGTGTCCAATTTCTACATTACCAAAAAGTTATGTCCGGTTGAGGCCTTAAATGACTAAAAACTTATGCCTGTTTAATGCTCAAAATTTATGTTTTATGTCTAATTTTTAAATTTAAATGTAAATTACCACAAAATTATGTCCGGTTTTTAATACCCAAACATATTTTCCATTTATGGCAATGGGCTTATGGTCCCGTTTTTGAAAAACCAAAAATTTAAGTATTTTCAAATTTCTATAAAAAATGTGTTCAGTTTTTTTCTAAAATGAATTTCTTTAGAAAATTCCGAAATTTGATTGCTCTCCACCATGTGTCACAGGAGTAATCGAGTCCTAACCGCCATAAACATGTAAGCGACATTAAAAAAAAATTATTTTTGATACAGAAATGCATCTAGATGCTGTAGGAACATTTCTGCATCAAAAAGAAAATTTTAAAAAAAATTTCGGTTAGGTCTTTTGGGCCGTTATGGCGCGATAAGTCAAACGAGTAATGCTTATCAATAGAAAATATTTTACAGAAACTCTTATTTCACAAAACTAAACCGTAAAAACGACCTTATAACCCCACAGTAGTAACAAAATACATATGTAATACCATATAAGAATATACAAACGTATGTTTTTAGTATGTAAGAGTATGTGCATATGTCCAAAAAAGAGTTTAACAAATCAAAATCGAGACAACCTAGTAAGTATTGCGCATCTGTACGCTATTTCTCAGGTTTCTCAAAAGTTGGCCAAATTTGACAATGCCCCATCCTAACACATAGTCATATGTAAGTATTTATCAAAAACAAAATTGTTTCATGTATTTATGTTTAGATGTTGCGCCACTTCAAAATTACCTTTTGCCTTCAATTTTGCCGCAGCATCACCATCATCATCACCATCATCATCACCAACACCACCACCACCACTACCACCAGGTATTGTCGCCTCTCTGGAGGTTGTAATCGTTTGTGTTGTCGTAATTTCTGTTACAGTTGGCATTGATTCAAAGTCATCTTTGCATTGTAACAAGTCATGTGACAATTGTATTGGTTGTTGTTGTTGTTGCTGTGTTGTAGTGGTTATTGTTGTGGTTGTAACACCTGTGGTTGCAGTAGTGACTTGCGTGTGTTGCTGTGAGAAATGCCATTGTTCGTCGGTGAAACTCATATTATCGTCGAATGATTTGCCAGACATCGATTCAATGGTTGGTGATTTGACAACATCTAAGCCACCAATGTCATCGCATGTAATAGCATAATTTTCACTCTCTGAATTATATTCTTGCCTAAGCGAATCATAACCATTTGTCTCATGCTGCTCTTGTTGCTGCTGTTGTTGTTGTTGTTGGCTGCTAATAATATTAATGCTCTCTTCCAGTACATGGTCAATTAGCACTGCAGCCTCTTTACGTACGGTGGCGCCGAAATCATCGACAACAGCATCGCCAGCTTTTCTGCTTCTGTCTTCATCATCATCATCGTCGTCGTCGTCATCATCACTGTCTTTATCATCGTCAGTATCTTTATCTGCATGAGTATCTCGAATACCATATCCTTCTTTCTTATCAGTATCTTTATCTGCTTTGTCACCAATATCTTCATTAAAATCTATTAATTTTTGTGTTTCATTATCATCGACATCGGCACTAATTTTATGTTCTTGAACGTCATCGCCTGCAAGATAATTGCACATATTGCACATAGAGTAGGTATGTATGTTTGTATGTAATGCACCAAAAGTCCAAAACTTTAAGCAACATATGTAATTACAGCAACATGTTTGGGGCAACATGTTTGGGGNATTGCACATATTGCACATAGAGTAGGTATGTATGTTTGTATGTAATGCACCAAAAGTCCAAAACTTTAAGCAACATATGTAATTACAGCAACATGTTTGGGGCAACAACCCAAATACATTCATTTTGTTTTTTTTTACACATTGTTAGTGAAAAGCGTGCAAATCCATTTTCAATGCAATAATGAGCGTGAAATGGCGTGTATCGTGGAATGATAATGCGATGTGTTTGAATGTGAGGCTTAAGCGGTGACAAGTAGATATTCAAAGGAACAATTAAATATGTAATTTTTACAGATGTTAACAATTACCTTAACAGTATGTTTATATGTACTTATAATTAATTACTTCCGATCATCAAATGAATCGTTGTTCAGTCCTTTGACCAACTAACAAATTTTTGTCTAATCTAATCTAATATATCTAATGAAGTCCGAGAGCCTTTGGTACAGGTAAAAAAAAATAATACGGTTTTTGATCGCCAACGGGCATCGCTGCCCAAGAACAGACAGAGAGGAGACAGAGTTTAATATACCAAAAACAAAATTTTCCCATTTTTTATTCAATAATTTTTATCCAAGTAACAAACGCCTCAGGTTTTCAGCAAACTCTTCAATTATTTTATTCTCAATCACCTCGCGGCTGTTGTTAGTTATTTCCTCTCCTTATTGTCGTTCTTCTGAATATGCAGTTATAGTTGCACCACTATACACAATCCCGACTCTTGCGTCCCCGTTCTCGCACTCTGGCGAATGCAAGCAACCCATGTGCGAAATGCGGTAACCAACTCGTGTGGGGACTTGCGGTGTGGCCACTCTGACTTATTCGGCCAGCGCACTAAAGTTAGCAGCATCTGATCAGTTTAGATTCGGCTACAAGCCGTCGACTGTTGTCTTAGAGCAAGCGGCTCACTCTATACTTAACTGAGCATCTTCAAAAACTCTCCCAGCAAGGGGTTTCGAAGCGGTAAAGTAAAAAACAGATCCAATGGAAAACCTAAGACAGCCTCGGTTGATTTCCCCCCAAAAAACTTTGACGACCCACTACACAAAACAAGGATTTTGCTTTGCTGAAAAGCGCTTGGAATGTCCGGAACCTCCATAAAAAAGATGCCTGCTGGTTTGCTGGGAGAAATACCAGGCTGACATCAACACAGTGCAGAAAAACTTGCTACATGCGATATCTGTTACAGCTGTAATGCTACGGCCGACAAATTTGTAGTTGAGCGGAGCGGAGGCCTCGACGAATTTCCACAATCCGTAAGAAAGCTAAACATATTTGGTCCATCATTCTGATATTTCCGTCTTCATGACAACACCTACGACAACGAAGAGAGACTCAGTGCACGGAATTTGGTACATATTTACATAATACCATTTGGGTGTCCCTTGAACACAGACGAAAAACCAAATTGATAACGGTGTGATAGGCACGACGTAAGTTCGACGTCGAAAAGCTACAGTCACAAACGGCAAGCGAAAACTTTCGCATTCTATTCTGAATCCGGCTTAAACAATACATTTTTCATCGATGGTTGGACCATTCGATATCTTCGATAGTATCGGGTCTCGCCATTCGAAAGTATTAATACTTTTGGTAACAGATGCATAATCTTAAGAGAAAAAGTATGAGATCCTTACTACGGCACTAACTATATTGAATATGGTAAGAGGGAGAGGCACCTTAACAAGTTTTGGCAAATTCTGTTTAATGTTTATTATTTTTTTAGTACCGTTCGTTATCTTACAAAAACCATGTATGTAAGTCGAAATTTCAAACTTCATAAACAAATCAGGAAAATGCGACCACGTTCCATCGAAATTTCGAGTTTTTTAATTAGATTTCCTAGAAAAATTTTAATTATGTAACTTTGTGGTCTATTCAATTTTAACATAATAAAGTGTGGGTTTGATGTAGCCACGGCTTATCTTTGATTTTTGCCATATTTTTGTTGTTGAAGGTGTTGATCGATTTTTTAACTCATTTTTAACCGAGTAAAAAAATTAAAATTTTATATCTAACTTATTTAGAGGCCGATTTGGCTGCTATTTACAATATATACTGACTATATAAGAAGAAACACTTTTGTAACTCGTTAGGTGGCGCCAGGGTCGAGATATTTTGAAAACCCGTATTTGAGCCTTGATTTGTTTCACATTTAGCATGTTTACTCGTAACATAATAAGATATAGATTTGCAAAAAAATTAGCCGCTGGTGGCGCTGATGTCAAAATAAAAAGTACGTTTGACACAAAATGCATGTCTTCTTCCCGTTAAAAATTCTCTCCAGAACAATATTAACAAAACTTTTTCAATGGAAATTTGAGTAACTAACGTCACGTCAGATAAATCAGCTGATTAAACATAAAGCAGAAAGGATTTCTACATTTAAAAACTTGGAAAATTAACCTTAAACATTTCCAATAAGAAGCTAGGAAAGGTTTTATACGAATAGTCTTGCCCAATTCGCAGAGTTTTCAAATTTTGTAATCGAAGTCAAAATCCACTTCTATTCTTGTAACGCCACGCCAGCGCGTATTTTTACTTTAAATCGCTAATACCAACAGTTGTATTTTTTTACTGAATAAGGGGCCATTAAATTGCTATGCAAATCTAGATAAATCTTTTTAAAATTTTGACTTTTTCAATATTTTATTTTTAACATTTTGTCATAAGAGTGTCACTCAACGCTAGTTTGGAAATACCCATATGTTTTTTTTTTTGTTATGTATGTTACCGTATAACTTTGGACCAACTTTACCGATTTCTATAATTCTTTTTTTTTTTTTAAGGAAAGCCGGTACGTCAGAGGTGGTCCGATACTAATTTGGTTTAGATCCGATCATTGGAGCATGAAGAAATTAACGGTACCCTTAAATTTTTATGTGAGAATTGAAGCCCGTTTTGTTTTATGCTTAAAAATTACTTGTTTCCATATAAAGTAGTATGTTGGACTATTCTTTTATATGGGGGAAAATGAGCATCGCATCGAATAATCAGATTAAAAAAAGGGATGATAAATGATTTCCGATAGTACCGCGATAGTGACCACCATTCGTCGATACTGGTCACAAATTTAAACTATCGATACTTTGCCGCTCTATTTCTGACGCCCAAAACACCATAATCAGAGCAGTAAAAACGGTGTTTCCACTACAACTATATCACGTTGTTCGCTCTCTCAATTACTAACGGCGAATTACCCTGTTTACACGGCACATTCGTAATTCACTTTGCCTCTCTGGTTCTTGCTCTTTGCTAATGGTTAATGTTTACTGTGTTAATGTTTATTGTGCATTTCAACGGTGGAGAAAAGATGTATAGTGGTTAAATAGCATAATCAATACAAGTAACGAATCTAGCTTTTTTTCAATCTTTGTGCTGGTGGGGATGTGCGTAGTATATGTGTTTTGACAGCTGTTTTCGAAAACATTTCCGGTAAAAATTAGAGAAGACAACGATTTTTGCGTGATTTTCGTGGTGACTGGATCTGAATTACCTACAAATGAAGTGATTCGCTCTCAAAATGGCGAATTACGTTATTCGGTTCGTAATTGTGGCGCCAATTACGAATGAGAGAGCAAATTACGAATTGGAGAGCGACACAATTGTCGTGGAAACATCGGTTAAGCGTGTCACTGAAAGTCGTGGACGTGAACTTTTGGTGAAAATGTTGGACCAAAAGGTTTAAATAACATTAAAAATTGTTTTGAGCGTAACGGAGTTCGCCGGGTCCACTAGTAAGTTTGTACATATTTGGGTACGTAAATAATTTTATGATAGTATGATTGTAGTTTTTATGCTGTACTTTTCATTTTGCTAATAAAAAAGAGTAGATTTAATTTCTTCGTAATTCTTATGTGATTTGTTTTATTTTTTTGTTTGCTGAGTAACTTAAAGTAAATATCTTATTTATTTATTAAAATTTTTGTTTATTTATAAATTATTATTTGCACACCTTAGTAGTTGTTTACTGCAATATTGACGAAACGGTATAATCTTAATATTGTAAGTAGAAACTAAATATTATTGTTCCGAAAATGATATCTTGAACTTAACTTGAAGATTAATAATCCACCGATTTTGTTAAAATTAGCTCTAATTGTTTTGATTTTTTTGTTTTTTTTTTCGTTTTTAAACTAAATAAAAATGAATTATGTCTATGCGTGAGAAGTTCAAATAAATTATATAATACCAATGTCAAAACAGTGCTGTTGGGTGATTATATTTGAGTTGAGAAACTAAGCATGTGGCTAAAAGCGGGTTTTTGTTTGCATACACAAAAGGAAAATAAATTTCCAAAAATTAAATTTCATGAAAGCATATAAATAGCACGGTTTCGAATTGCATACAGACGATATTTAAATATATTAATTTCTTACACGCTTACCTAAATTTCGGAAAGAGTCTTCATCCAAAACAAGTTTTTCTTCTATAGTTTCTGTAAAAGAGAGATATAAAATAAATGTTAGTGGCATCTAAAAGCAAAATAAAGGACGATAGCCACATAAAATGTGAGCATGAGAAAATGTTTGCAAAATAATGTATGACCACACAACAAAAAAAAAACAAAACTATTTTATGAAAATGAAATTTTTAAAGAACAAAACGAATGTTATGCACTTAAGCATGTAGAAATAATGGAATTTTATGTAAGGCTATGTATGTATGTATGTATTTACGCAAGGCTCGTTGTTAGCAAAATGATTTGACGCTTAAGCGTTAGTTGATTAGTAAGTAGTAATGACGAAAACTGGCATTTGCATTTGTTAGTATGTTTGTTAGACTATTTGTATGCAAAATACATATGCAAACACGTTGGCAACACTAGCATTATTTGAATAATAAATTTTTTTTGCTTTTTTTTTATTTAATTTAATGTGAAACATATTTTACTTACAAATTCTGTTGATTTATAATTATTATTTTTTTATTTTTTCTGTGTTTTTGTTTGCTTTATTCTTTTTTTTATTTGTTTTTGTGTTTGTTTTTCTTTGTGAAATGTTGTGGTTTTTTTATTGCTTCTGATTGAATCGATTTAATTGCTTCCTCTGGTTGCCGATTCATCCGATTCCACATACTCGACATCTGTGTGCGCATCACGTGTCTCCACATTGCCTTTTATATGCAATTTTTCAGCCTCCTCATTAAAGCTATTACTGTTCTGCTCATGCACTATAGTGCAACTTTCATTTAACAACTCAATTAGTTCGTTGCTATTGCACGCACGCGTCTCAGTTGCGTCATTAACCGCACCAGCATCATCGCCATCACTCGGGCACTGCACATCTTCAACATCTGTATTTGGCGGATTGGTGCCCTCACCGACGCTCGCATCGAGCATAGTCAGTGTGTGTGCCTTGCAGCGCTGCATATGATTTCCGCAAGATTTTCGTTGACTATCTGTTTCGATTGCCACCACAATATTACAATTGCTCACTATATACTCCTTTAAAGTGGTGCTACCCACATCGGCAGTTTGCTTAGCTTCCGCTTCGGAAGTGTCAGACACCTCATCAGCGCTCATGTCCTCTATATCAGTGTTCTTATCAAAACTATCGGCTTGTTGTTGTCGCTGATGTTGTTGTCCATTAAAATTCAATTTAACATTTGGCGGCAGGCCTTGTTCACTCAAATCCATATCTTCAATGTCCGTGCCACCACCATCTTCCTTGCCCCGTACGGTGACCTCTAAAAGTTTGGTTTTGCCTTTGCTCAAGCTACGCGTTTTCAGTTTCTTGCGTCGATTAATGCCATCTACATAGATTTCTTCAACATCTGTAACCGATTCGGTATTAGCATGCAATTCTAGACGCTTACTTACTTGCGGCTTTAATGTTTCATTTAGCACAGTGATTTCATGTTCAATCAAAGTATCAGCATCCAAACACTCGGCTACTGAGCCATACGCACCCAACTCATCGGCGCATGAGTAGTCTTCATCTTCAGTTTGCACATCGTCGGTCACTGTGCTATATATGCCAAATTGATATTCACGATCCATTGGCATAACATTCTCGATGGTGTCACCGAATTTGTCTTCCTTGAGGACCACCATTTCACGATGTGGCGGTGGCAGCGCTGCCTCGGCCACTGAGTGTACATCGTGAGTAGATTGTGTAACATCATCGTAAAACATATCTTCCACATCGGTTAAATCGGCGCCTTCATCGACGCCAGCGGCGGACAGTATAACAGCCCTCGGTATGGGTTTCTCCTCCTCCTCGCTATCGAAACTGTCTTCCGCAGCTGAATCATCGAGTTTTTCAACATCTGTTAGGACTTCCTCTGCAGGGCCACCGCTCGCTACCGTTAAGAACGCACCCTTATTGGCCGACATAGTTGTGGATTTGCGGCGTTGCTGGCCGCCAGTGCTGATGAATGCCACATCAATTGGCGGCAAGCTGGCATTACTGGCGCTATCGTATATATTGTCGTCCTCCTCATTTTCCGAAGCTGAATCTGAGACAACAATTTGGCATTCCACTTCATCGCCCGACATTTCGAGCAATTCGTCCTCGGACATGTCGCGTGCGCATGCGCCGTCGACATTTGATAGCGCCGATGCGAGATCACTAATATCGCTCACTACCGACAGGTCTTCATATTCATCGGATTCGTCATTGTCTTTTGTGGAACGCTCGCCATCAGCAATGAATACTTTACCCTGTTCACCTACAGCTGCGTCCAAATCGACACATACCGAGCGTTCACAGTCGTCATTTTCCAATTCGGAATCGGTGTTATAGTCTTCACAATCGGTTAGGTAATCGCTTGTGTCATTTAAATTTTGTGCTTGCAAGAAATTTCCAGCTTTGTGTTCTACTCGTTCCTTAGCCTCATTATCGACCCTATCTTGTTCGCGTAGACCATGTTGTAAGAATTCTTGTAGAGATAACTTCAATTCGGGATAAACGTTGCTCTTCTCCTCATCTTCAGAATCGGTGTCATTGTAATCTTCGATATCAGTGGCATCACTATCACGCTTTGTAAGTTTGGGTAGATTCAATGTTGTATTGCTGGGAGATTTCTGATTTGTAAATTTTTTAATATCGCCTTGACTATCGAAATCTTCGACGTCTGTAGCTTCGCCCGCATTACAGTTATAGTCCATATCATTGCTATTAGAATCTTCAGAGGGTGGCGAATCCGCCTGGTCGTCATCGGTAACGGAAATTATTGGAAGCTTTTTGGACATTTTGTTTTCTTTGGATTTTGTGTGTAACTCAATTGTTCTTATTAACAGTTTCAGTTTTTGCTATTTGTGGAAGAGTCAAATTGGTTTTAAATTTTGAGTTATTTCCAATTAGTTATGTAAGTAAAAAAAAAAGACACATATTGTCCCGTAGTTAGAGACGATTGATAAGCACGTTTGAAGTAAAATTTAACTTGAAATTTAAATTTTTGATGTGTAAACATCTTAGCCCTCGGTGTGGGTAAAATTTGCGTTAACAAAGCAGAAAATTTGTAACTGATTCTTGTGTAACTCAGCAGAAATTCTATAATTGCTTCCTGTGTGTACAAATGACAATTTCTGGACTTGTGCCGCGCTTTTGCAGAACATTTTCCGGACTAGCTCATAACTATTTCAGGACTATTTCGGTATCATTTCAGGACTATTTAGTGACCATTTCGGAACCTCTTTAGGACCAAGTCGGGGCTAGTGCTCGACTATTTGGAGACCATCTTGGGTGTAGTTCTGAACCATTTCGAACCTAGTTCTACACTTTTTCGGGACTATCTTAGGATAATTTCATGATCATTTCAGGATTAGGTCGGGTCATTTCGGAACCGTTTCGGGACCTGTTTAGGATCATTTCGGGGCTAGTTAACGATTATTTGAGGTCCATATTGGGACTAGCTCTTGACCACTTCGAGACTAGGTCAAGACTATTTTAGAACTACTTGGGGATCGTGTCAGAACCATTTCCGGGCTATCCGGGATAATTTTGGGACTACTTCAGGAGTATTTCGAGACCACATCGGCATAGTTTTTACCCTAACCTATTCATGTATGTAACTGAATCGCCTAATGGTTTGCCAAGCCGTACGCATATGTTTACACATCAAATTTCACGAGGGTATTCACGCAATTTTTTTTTTTAAATACATGTTTTGTTTTCATTTTTAATGAATTCGGCTTTGGGCCCATCATAAATTATGACAAAGTATGTCTGTGAAAGGTACAAGTACTGAAACCAATTTTTTTCTTAAAATAAGAATGTATGGTATGTACAGACTCATTAAAGATGAAACGAAAATGTTAAATATTAACTAACCATAAATATCCATATGCCAGATGTGTACGAATGTAGTATTAACTTTTAAATGAACACTATGAACTAAAGCCTATTTAACATCATAAAAGCAGTTTATTTGATTTAATTTTCAAAATATTTTGCCAAAATTAACTTTAATATAACACGTTAGCTTCATTCATTTTTATCATAAAAACTTGCTTTTCATTTGTCCATAACTACGGGCCAATGTATTTACGGAAGCGCCTATAGCATTAGGGATGTTCACACATTAGAAGTATTTCTAAATCATACTTCGATGTATTAACACTGCAGCGACATATTTTCAGAAATTTAGGTGAAAAATAAATGTTTGCCTTCTGTCAGTTTTCATATAAAATTTAAATAAAAAAAGCATTTTTCACTTAAATTGCTGTTATGAAACTGGCTATTAAATATAAAAATCCGAGCACTTGGTTCACCTTTATAATTTCCTTTTGTAGTTTTTTTTTAGTTAAAAGAACAAATTGTGTAATGTGTTTGAATAATAATTACAGCATAAACCATATGTACATGCATACATACATACGTACCATATTAGCTACCCTGCAGCAATTCAGACTCCCCCTTGGTTAGCCCTAAGATAGTCCCTATTGTTACCAGCACTAGTCCCTGCCAATGGTTTCAACTGCCGTTTTTAGCATTGGCGTGTGCGTGTCATTGGAAAAGGACCGGTCCAATCAACACTGACTGTAAGATAGTCCTGGACTAGTCCAATTTTGAAGATTTTTGCGTTGGAGTAAGATATCGTTCTGCACTTCACAGATGCTTTTTCATAAATCGGAAACACAAAAAAAAAATTATCATTTTATAACCATGTTGCCTCTGACGGCATTTGAACCAAAACCCTCCTGAAAGCTAACAAATAGTGGCAAGCATCTCTGCGCACTGAGCTACTGCCACGCATGTAAATGTGTGTTCAAATGTTCACTTTGCATCAAGGCCAGACCAAGCGATTGGGACATTTACAGGGTGGAGTTCTTTAATTTTTTTTCATTAAATTGCAAGACAACACCACCCTGTCACTGCCAAACTGTACTTTTCGACTATTTCTAGACCGATTCCTTGGGGACTTGTCGAAGGCTGACATTTTCGATGCAGGGTATCCACATCGAGATCAATAGTTTGAGATTTATTGTTCATATCGGCTACTTAGGTGCTATCGTAATTTCTTTTTGGAACCCTTTTTTCTTGGTTCCAAATAAAAAATAAAATTAAAAGTCCAATTAAAGTTTAAGAACAATTTATTCCCTTTTTGTCAACCTTTAAGGCACTAACAACTATAGCCCAGACCTGTGTAGACGTTGTTGCCTGCTTCATTACAGGCCATTCGCTCTCAGCTGTTTGCAGGAAGGCGCAAAGAACATGAGCATGTTTAGCGTTGAGAATAGGCTGTCCGCCAACCCAACCAAAACTTGGGTTGTGCATTTCACTATAAGGAGAATACAGAACGGCCTTGTGCCCCTCCCTAAAGGAGTCAATATTCAAATTTCTTCCTATGTAAAGTATTTAGGAAGAATTCCAAATTGCAAACTTTAAAGGTAGTTTCACGTTGTAAAGAATGCATCCAAAAGGTTGACATCGTTCTGATAATGTAAACTAGTCTTTAACTAGACGTGTGGAATGTCACCTAGACGAATCATTAGCAATACATCTGTGGTGTGGTAGAGCAGACTCTCAAGCAATAGCAGGAAGAATCTGCTTAACAAACTTCAAATAACAACGGCTGTTTGCTTCCATCCAACACATGGGGCTGCTTGAGGTCACTTGTAGGCTTAAAAGAAATGTCTCAGGATAGTGTGCCACCATTACCTTTGCTGAAGAGATACTACAATATTGAATTCCCTAAGGCTGACCACTGGCTTAACCACAAAACAAAGCTCAGGTTCACAGAATCTTAACCGTTGGTTCTAGTATTTGCACAGGATCAGAATCTGACCTCTACAATTACATCGAGGGTAACTACTTAGGATAATCTTCTCACTTTGGGAATAAGCCTCAGTATTTCCAGCCGTATTTATAATCTTCCAAGTCATAGGCTGCATACTTAAAATGTGTGAAAAAGTAGTAGTATATTTATCTCTAGTGACAGCTAAGCTGTACTCACGGCATTGTATAGACCTCCAAATTAGCTTAGAAATGCAAGTCTTCGCTAAATAGTGTTGGTAAACATAACGAACTTTTTTTTATGTAGATGTCTTTTGGCTGTGTATTCCTCAACCAGCAGCCAGTTATATCACTCTCACCTCCGGGCATTGAAAATAGGTGAATGTTTCGCTCAGAAATCGCTTAGAGGTATCGAAGAGCTGCGGTTGGGGAAAAACCTATGTCATATGTTGGCCTGCATCTCAGAAGATTTAGTTGGGTTTTTGCTTTCACTAAGCTGATGAAACTGCAGATAGCTTATGGGATTGCAGACGACTTATGGGATTACTCACTGGTCACTTATCGTAGGACAAACACGTGACTGTGGTCGGCATATATGACAACCTCACTTTCCTGGAATACTTTTTGGCAGAACCTCGCCTTTGCAAGGATTACATACATATACACGTATGTACGTAAAAGGATTTTGCCAGCGGTTCGTTGAGAAACGACACCTACAGTCGTTAACACCCAGTACTGTACTTTGATTTAAAGATTGAAAAGAACACGAAAACGTTAAATGAAGGCCAATGTGCTTAGATAGCTGAATAGCCTGAGGTTCCCTCTATCTGTGAGCTTTTCAAGCCAGCTTCGATTGCGAAGTACTTTTAATAACAAAGCGCACTGGTGCACGAGTACAAAGTGGAGAGGTCGGTTTTCGCTATGTAAAATTTTGACAACATATCTTGACACAACTTATCTCCACATTCTTCAAAAGTATTCTGAAGCTTAATCATTGTTAACTCTCCTTCACCGGACACTGTGATTCATCTTTTAATTAACTGATGAATTAAGTGGAATTTTAATTTTGAAGCATGTGGCAATCCCGCTAAATACAGTTCAGAAATAAAATTTTCAAACCACCTTCGATTAATATCCATATTTTAATAATTCATTTAACTTATAAAAAAATTTGAACTTAACTTTTTAAACAGGTGGCAACCCTCCTCCAACACCTCAAAAATATTCTTAGCGTTCAAACTAAAGATTTCTTAAGACTCCTTCGTTTGACATCCATAATTTGATATTTCGGATAACTTGTGAATAAGTAAACTAAATTCGACATTTCAAACAGGTGGCAACCCTCTTCAAGATATTTTCAAACTACTACTTTTTGAAACCCCTTTCGTGTGTCACCCATATGGTGATACATATTTTTCTTACATAATATGATTTTTTTAACAGGTGGTAACCCTCCTATGGTTCAGCTAAGAAACAAAGCTTTTCAAAACCATTTCGATTGATACCTAGTTTGTAATAATTGATATATTTGTTTAAATAATTTGAATATAATATTTTAAAAGATGGCTACTCTTTTCAAAAAAGCAAAACCTTATTGCACATCTTCAGTCCAAGGCTTTTAGTTTGACGCCTCATTTTTGAAAATAGAACGAACGGTGCGGATTATTAAATAATTTGAATTTAATTTTTTAAAAGGTGGCAACTCTTTTCGAAAACCTAAAACCAGTTTGCACATCTACAGACCGAGCGCTTTATTTTGACATCTCATTTTTAAAAATCGGGCGAACGGTACAGATCTTTTATCCTGAACAAAAAATTCCTTCGCGTACTATATATCGAGCGGTAACCGCCAAAATAACGTAGGCGACATTTTATTCAAAATTTTCTTTTTGATGCAGAAATATTCCTAGAGCATCTAGGTACATTTCTGCATCACAAAGTAAATTTTGAAAAAAATGTCGCTTACGTTATTTTGGCGGTTAGGGCTCGATATATAGATTAGACAGAAATCTTGCCTAGTTTCCATATAACGATATTTGTGAAGAATGAAAGCACTTTTATATTACAGTAATTCTTAAAGCTAGACTGTTTAAAATTGACACCAAAACCATTATTTTAGCATAAAATACAATTTTTGTAAGAACTTGGCAAATTAGTGCAAAATCAATTTTCTCTAAACTTGGTACACTTATGTATTTCTATGAGTCTCAGCAAGTAAGGCGGTGAAAATTCTTGAAATCGACAATAACCACGCCCACTTGCCATATAATAGCAAATAAAATGGATAAATCCGCAGAGCTGTCATTGAAAAATTCGCTATGAAGGAAATGTTCTACAACTAAGTGATACACACCAAACGATTTCTTTTTTCATCGAGAATCCAGTTTGAAGATAAATTCTTATTTGTAATTTTTATGAAAAATTAAAAAAATAACAATTATCTTTGATTTTTATTTTACAAATCTAAAATAACAATTATGTATTTTTGACTAACACTGACGTGTCTTTTTTAAATCATATTTATAAAAGTCATTTGTATAAGCCGTAG